TCTGAGCTGTTTGGTTACCTGCCAATCCACTCTGAAACTCTCTGCCTCTGTAATCCCTGCGGTTGCCCACCACCTACCTTGTTTCCTGTGAGTCTGGATTCCCTCTTCATCACAGTGAGATCCTGTACGTCCTGCATTGGATTGATCATCAGCTTCTTCAAACCGTGACAGTGTGCCCCGGTCGCAGACCGTGACACTGAAGCCAAGAGGTGATAGAGAATCCAGTGCAGCCAACACAGCTGAAGCCAAGAGGTCATAGAGAATCCAGTGCAGCCAGCAGAGCTGAAGCCAAGAGGACATAGAGAGTCCTGTGCAGCCAGCAGAGCTGAAGCCAAGAGGACATAGAGAGTCCTGTGCAGCCAGCAGAGCTGAAGCCAAGAGGTCATAGAGAGTCCTGTACAGCCAGCAGAGTTGAAGCCAAGAGGTCATAGAGAGTCCAGTACAGCCAGCAGAGCTGAAGCCAAGAGGTCATAGAGAGTCCAGTACAGCCAGCAGAGTTGAAGCCAAGAGGTCATAGAGAGTCCTGTGCAGCCAGCAGAGCTGAAGCCAAGAGGTCATAGAGAGTCCTGTGCAGCCAGCAGAGCTGAAGCCAAGAGGTCATAGAGAGTCCTGTACAGCCAGCAGAGTTGAAGCCAAGAGGTCATAGAGAATCCAGGGCAAAGCTCAAAAACTTTCTGCAAAAGCAGCAAGACTTTTTTTAAAAAGTGTTTGCATAAAAAAATCTTAGTTGTACATTAAAAACTTTATTAACTCTTTTTCATTAACAACAAGCTCCTTCATTCTTAACATCTTTATTTAGCTTGTAAAACATTTCCAGTCATTTTTCAAACGTAATTCCACATAGGAAAATGTGCATGTACAGTTCTCTCTTTAACAACGTTTAAGGCACCGTACATGACACACATCGTTCTCCCAGTACATGGAAACATAAATGTCACACAGAGGCACTGAAATGGAATAAGACACTTTCATGTATCACCGCCGTGATGACGGACATTCAGTCATATAAAATATTGTGCAGTTCACACACAATGCACTGGTTATGTCTTACTCAATTCTTGATGATAAGGCTTTTGCTGCGGCAATATTTATAACTCTGTCCAGCTACTATTGCAATTGCCGCACCTCTGTCTCCATATGGCCAGGTAAGTGACACAACTAGGCCTCTGTAGTTCATTTTTAAAGGCACGCAAAGGCAACGCAGCTCCGACGCACTACTGTCAGTTTGCAAATATGTGTTTGGTTGTCTTTTGTGCTGCGTGGGCAGCCCCATTCGCATATGATGGGCTGTCTTAACATGACACTCGTAAACACGTGGCCTACTGGCACAAGAATGTCAAAGTGTACCCGGGCACTTACATGTAAAAATGCTTTAAATGTTTAAACTAGGGTTGCACAGATATGAAGTACAGTACTCGGTGCAAGTACTAGTACATGTACTAGTACTAGCCTATCCCACCTCGACCTAACCACTGAACCTTTACATTCTCAAATAATTAATTCCCACAGCTACCTCCTCATGTATCATTTCCCCCTCCTCTTTCAGATTGGAAGCCCTCAGGGGCATGGCCCTCCTTACCATCTTGTCTTGAATTGTATTGTAATTGTAATGTCTTCCTTATATTGTAAAGCGCTGCACAAACTGTTGGCGCTATATAAATACTATGTAGTAATAATAATAATAATAATAATAATGTACCGATACTTTTGAGCTCCAAGACTAGACTAGAGAAAAATTCAAAAGTTAGGAGGCCGCTGTCATGTGTAAGGAGCACACGGAGCTCCCGGGATTTGCACATCTCTGTTTTAATGTACGATTTTGTTTTTATAAATATATAAGTGATGCACAGATACCAGTTTTGCGAGTACGAGTACTGGTACTTGCCAAGTACTTAAAAGTACTGATACATTTTTGTTTACAGTCATGTGACAGTTTTTCTATAACAATACAGACTAATGATTTCAGGACAGTGGTGGAGTGCCAGAGCCCGGTCCCAGCTGCAACCCTGGTAGTTATCATGAAAATGCCAAGTATCGGCACTGGTACTCGAAAAGTATCTGTTCATGCCTAGTTTAAACACTCATTCATTTCAATTAAAAGCAACATTTAAAAGGTATTTAACCTCCTCCCGCTGGAGTCACATTATATGTAGCAAGAACTTTTTTGGACTTCTATAGAATTTTTGATTTTCCCACACCTTTTGGTCTCAGTGACAGTGGTCACCAGGACAAATATGGGCTCATGAACATGGGCAGCTGACCCTGTACAGTGCAAGTTCTGGTGTATTTTAGCCCGCCTGGGAACCACAACTGCTGTGCACAACCACCTATAAAAGTCAATGGCTGTACTCAGCTGTGCATGGGTACACGCCGATACTTGTGTACATTCACATAGGCATACGGACATCATGTAATTCCCTGGATGCAGGATTTTGGTGTCCAGAATTTACGTCCTGGTGCAAGTAATGACATATACCTGTGAACAGCTATTGACATCTATAGGGGGGCTGTACGTAGCAGCTGTGGCTCCCCGCTAAGGAAAAATACACTGGAGCTTGGGTTGCACAGGCTCAGCTGCCCATGTTCATGGATATACCTAGAGAGGACAGAGATAAAAATATAAAAAACTGAACAGGGGTTCTAATCCTTCCCTATTTTATCCAAAACAGGCTATTTGGCTATTCAACCGAATACACAAATCAAAAGCGCCAACCGAAAAGTGCATGTGAAAGGATTACTAGGGGCGCTGCCCCACTTCAGCCAGGGGAACTGTAACACTATGAGGAAACAAAAGAGATGGGCGCCCACCCTAGTGCAGATTGTTTTTAATATTAAAAGGCAGCAAAACAGAGTAGAAACATACTCACAATGGTGGATCAAATAAGAGCATTCAACAAAAGCGTGGAGGACATCAGTGAGAAGCTGCACAGTCAGCCTGTGTTCCAGCACAGAATGCCTGCGTTAACGCGTTTCCGGGGTCACGCCCCCTCGTCAGAACCTGGCCTTTCTTACTGATGTCCTCCACGCTTTTGTGGAATGCTCTTATTGTAAAATGGCCTGGCCAGGAAGGGGGTGAAACACTATGGCCTTCAAGTGGTTAATACTAAAAACAATCTGCACTAGGGTGGGCGCCCCTCTCTTTTGTTTTCTCATATTTGGCTATTCATTTTAAATTCTCAGTTTATTTGGCAGCTTCTAATGAGAGGATTGGCCAGCAGGAGAGATCTCCCACGCTGTCCTCTCAATCTGGCAGCAGCTATTCAGCAAGGAACAGTCTGTGGGACACCTACTCTCTCATCTTGTGTTGGATTCCCATGTCAGGCTCATACAGAGCCTGTTCTCCTACAGTATCCTTGACCCAGAAACTATACAGGGAAATCCCCATAATTCCAGCAGGAATAGCTGACCATAGGGCACCAAAAGTTCTTGGCACCTGTCTGTGAAATGGCAAACTAGGTGCATCTATGCATTACTAGACACACCCCCTCTGCTACAATAGGTTTACTCCATAAAGAGAATTTGCAGGATAAAGCGTAATACCCCATCTGTCTGAGACCTGTCCATCTTGTAATTAGGAGTAGAGATGAGCTTCAGGTTGAGGTCAACCATTAGTTTGACCTGTGCCCAAGCTGTTGGCAGTTAGGGGTGAACAATTTGGCCAGTCCGCTTGCCCGGCAAATCTCCACCTGTGTCCTGAGTGACCCCCCCCCCGTGCAACAGCATCACTAGTTGACTTGTGGCTGAGCCGCATAGCGCCAATGGTTGACTGGTGGCTGAACGACACAGCATCACTGATTGCTAGAACATGAGCGGACACATGCAAAAACCTATGACACTATGGGGCCACCAGAGTCCTACCAACCAATGTCACAGTAAGAGTGATGAACCCTTACATTGGTGGTCAGTAGGAGAGATGCCACCAGACGTAGGTGGTCAGTAGGAGAGGTGCCGACAGACATAGGTGGTCAGTAGGAGAGATGCCACCAGATGTAGGTGGTCAGTAGAAGAGATGCCACCAGACGTAGGTGGTCAGTAGGAGAGATGCCATCAGATGTAGGTGGTCAGTAGGAGAGATACCACCAGACCTAGGTGGTCAGTAAGAGAGATGCCACCAGACGTAGATGGTCAGTAGGCGAAATGCCATCATATGTAGGTGGTCAGTAGGAGAGATGTTGTCTTACATTGGTGGTCAGTAGGAGAGATGCCCCCTTACATTAGTGGTCAGCGAAAACATGAACCCCTGCTGGTCGGTGGAAGGAATGTGTTGTTACACTGTTCACAGAACCCGTAGTAACCTCTTGAGGAACTCTAGTGTTCCATGGAAACCTAGTTGAGATAGGCTGTCTTAGGAGGATGTGGCCATGGCTTTATTCTGAGAGGGTAGAGGCCATACAGCAAATCACTTCTGAGATGATTGGGTTGCTTTACCAAAAGGCAAGGATCTCCATCTAGTAGGAATCCCTCTGTGTAAGTACACATAAGAATATGAAATATATAAAGTTCAGTTTCTCTCAGTTACCTAAAAATCAAGTCATCTTGACTCCTATGTGTTTCAATCACCAAAACTAGTTTATGAAAAAGTGGAACTCCACTTTAAGATGTTATAATCTGATACCCTTTTATAGGCAGGACTGACAACCTGAACATCCCCACCGGTCAAGGCAACACAAGCTGCAGCATTCTGGGAGTTGTAGGGCTGCAGACATCAAAATGCCACTGGGGCCATGAGAACATGAAATATCCTTACAACACATGGTAGGTTCTGTGCAAAACCCAGTACGCCTGTTCATATATACATACAACCCCCTAAATGTGGTTATTCAGAATTGCATAGGAACCGATGAAGTCCCAAATTTCAAAGTTGATCAGAAAGTAAACAAAACACCAAGTCTATTAAAAAAGATAAATAGCAGAAATACCAAGTCTAAGAAAGTTGAGGAACATGTGCACCATAAACTTCATGGCATTAAGAGGAAACCTATGAGAGCCATTCGTTGAGGCCGTGATTGCACAAACTCCAGGGAGAGCCTAGTCCTTCTTCACCCGTTCTGGAGATACTTTACTCAGTTTGAATTTTGGAAGAATGTACACCAATACCAAGAAGGATATCGCTGTCCCTGGAAAGAGAGGAAATAAGGTCAAGGTAAATGGTTAGGATATAGTAAAAAAACAAACTATAATGTAAATCATCATTTGTATTTAAATGGGCAACGTAATGCAGAAAGTATTAGAATTCCTTTTATTGACTAACTTACATTACTAAACATGCAAACTTTCAGGATCCCTTTGTCAGGGAATTGTACAATCGCTACTATGAGGGGTTCCCACCATACCTGTACTAAGTTCCTGGGTCTGCACATCTGTGCCAATTATGAGGGGTTCCCACCATACCTGTACTAAGTTCCTGGGTCTGCACACCTCCTGTGCCCATTATGAGGGGTTCCCACCATACCTGTACTAAGTTCCTTAGTCTGCAACCTCCTGTGCCAATTATGAGGGGTTCCCACCATACATGTACTAAGTTCCTGTGTCTGCACACCTCCTGTGCCCATTATGAGGTGTTCCCACCATCCCTGTACTAAGTTCCTGGGTCTGCACACCTCCTGTGCCCATTATGAGGGGTTCCCACCATACATGTACTGCGTTCCTGGGTCTGTACACCTCCTGTGCCCATTATGAGGGGTTCCCACCATACCTGTACTAGGTTCCTGTGTCTGCACACCTCCTGTGCCCATTATGAGGGGTTCCCACCATACCTGTACTAAGTTCCTGGGTCTGCACACCTCCTGTGCCCATTATGAGGGGTTCCCACCGTACATGTACTGAGTTCCTGGTCTGCACACCTGCTGTGCCCATTACGAAGGGCTCCCACTCTGCGTGCTGGATTATTAATTTTATAAATGTAACAGGAGGAGCTGGTAGATGCAAAGGTGGGTGGTAACCTCCAGAACTCTCAGGTGGACAGGAACAGATTCAGGAATTATGGCAGGGGGATCTCACTGTTGGAGTATCTAAGACATAGAAGAAGTCATCCCACCCAGCTACACCTATTGCTAAAATATCACTTTTTGGTGGACTGAACCCATTAGCTCACCTCACCTCGCCCTCTCCCAGCACTGGCCTCAGGTCAAAGGTAAAAGTGCGTGCCCTACCATGAGCTGTGAACTACCTCAGCACCATAGGTTCCAGGTTCTGCTCTTTTAAGACCCACCTCTTGCTGAAGCACTTAAGGCAGCTGCATACCCCTCAGCCAGGTACTGCCCCAGGTCCGCAGAGCAAGTATCTCCAGCTGACTGCATACTTGGTATATCTTCAAATCACCACTGGATACCCAAATGGAAAATAATGACCAGGGTACTCATGACTGACACCTGGCCTGTATTTCTCTGAATTTAGCAACGAGTAAATGGGCAGCCTCACTGGCCATTAGGAAGGCAAGAAACAAACGACTAGGCGGCCAGCCTGTGAAACACAAATGTTTTAGTTGATAGTTCCATAAAGCAGTCAGGGAAGAGCTTGCTCTATGGAACCTGGGGCCACCTTAAATGAAAAGTTGAGCCTATATGAATAAAGTTACAATATTTAGGGAGGTGCTCGCTCTACAAAACCGAGAGCCGCCTTAGAAGACAAGATGAGCCTATATGAATAAAGTTACAGCATTTGAGGAAGTGCTCCTCTATGGGACCTGGGGCCACTCCAGAAGAAAGGATGAGGCTATATGAATACAATTACAGTATCTGAATAGGTTCTTGCCCTACGGAACCTGGGGTCACCTTAGAAGATAAGATGAGCTTATATGCATAACATTGGAGTATCTGAGGAGAGGTGCTTGCTCTATGGAACCTGGGGCCACTTCAGAAGAAAGGATGAGCTTATATGAATAAAATTACAATATCTGAAGAGGAGCTTGCGCTATGAAACCTTGGGCCACTTTAGAAGATAAGATGAGCCTATATGAATGACTTTGCAGTATCTGAGGAGAGGTGCTTGCTCTTGGAACCTGGGACCACCTCAGAAGATAAGATGGGTCTATATGAATAACATTGCAGTATCTGAGGAGAGATGCTTGCTCTATGGAACCTGGGGCCACCTTAGAAGATAAGATGAGTCTATATGAATAACATTGCAATATCTGAGGAGAGATGCTTGCTCTATGGAACATGGGGCCACCTTAGAAGGTAAGATGGCTTATATGAATAAAGTTGCAGTATCTGAGGAGAGATGCTTGCTTTGTGGAACCTGGGGCCACCTTAGAAGATAAGATAAGCCTATATGAATAAAGTTGCAGTATCTGAGGAGACGTGCTTACTCTATGGAACATGGGGCCACTTTAGAAGATAAGATGAGCCTATATGAATAAGGTTGCAGTATCTGTGGAGAGATGCTTGCTCTATGAAACCTGGGACCACCTTAGAAGATAAGATAAGCCTATATGAATAAGGTTGCAGTATCTGTGGAGAGGTGCTTGCTCTATGGAACATGGGGCCACCTTAGAAGATAAGATGAGCCTATATGAATAAGGTTGCAGTATCTGAGGAGAAATGCTTGCTGTATGAAACCTGGGACCACCTTAGAAGATAAGATAAGCCTATATGAATAAGGTTGCAGTATCTGTGGAGAGGTGCTTGCTCTATGGAACATGGGGCCACCTTAGAAGATAAGATGAGCCTATATGAATAAGGTTGCAGTATCTGAGGAGAAATGCTTGCTGTATGGAACCTGGGACCACCTTAGAAGATAAGATGAGCCTATATGAATAAGGTTGCAGTATCTGAGGAGAGATGCTTGCTATATGGAACCTGGGACCACCTTAGAAGATAAGATGAGCCTATATGAATAAGGTTGCAGTATCTGTGGAGAGGTGCTTGCTCTATGGAACCTGGGACCACCTTAGAAGATAAGATGGCTTATATGAATAAAGTTGCAGTAGCTGAGGAGAGGTGCTTGCTATATGGAACCTGGGACCACCTTAGAAGATAAGATGAGCCTATATGAATAAGGTTGCAGTATCTGAGGAGAGATGCTTGCTCTATGGAACCTGGGACCACCGTAGAAGATGAGATAAGCCTATATGAATAAGGTTGCAGTATCTGAGGAGAGATGCTTGCTATATGGAACCTGGGACCACCTTAGAAGATAAGATGAGCCTATATGAATAAGGTTGCAGTATCTGAGGAGAGGTGCTTGCTATATGGAACCTGGGACCACCTTAGAAGATAAGATGAGCCTATATGAATAAGGTTGCAGTATCTGAGGAGAGGTGCTTGCTCTATGGAACCTCGGGCCATCTTAAAAGAAAAGAAGAGGAGCATAGGAATAAAATTGAAGTCTTCCCAACAGTACTCAGTCCACAACGCCGAGACTTCCCTGCTCTCTGCTAGACTTGACTGAGCTGGTGTCAGTCATCCATGTCACACGGACCCTAATCCCAATCAGAATATTGGGGGTGGAAAGCGAGGCCTCGGGGAAAGTTAAACACAAATATACTTAGAAATGTGAGCTGTGGAAGACTGTCTGGAGTTCAGCTTTGAGGCCCCATATCCACCACCCATTATCACACAATAAACTTGTCTCACCGATAAGTGGTCCAATCCAGTAGACAAAGATGTACTGCAGGTAGGTGTTACCATGACACAAGAACACAACCGCAAAGGCCAGGGCAGGGTTAAAGATGGCTCCGGACAAGGGTGCACCTGAAAAAGCATAAAACAGACCCGGATTTAGTATACAGATACGGAACAAATAAAGCAGCTGTATACAAAGAAGCTTCAAATGAAAGGCACACATCATACATTGTAACTGCCGATATTGGATGCAATACAGGAAGTCCCCGGGTTACATACATCCGACTCCTACTTACAAACGCAGGCTATTACTGTACAGCAGGGGTAGTTGTAATGCTACCGTACTCGTGCTGATGAGGAGTGCCCGCTTTTTTGGGTCTGGTTCGTAGTACTGTACATACATGACAGGAAGTTGGCTCTTGTTTTTTTTTTACTGACGTGAAGAGACTTTCCACTCCACTGCGGCACTGACACTGCTGAAATGATAAGACAGCCCAGTGCTGACCAGACTTCCTGCTCTCTGTGTCACGTGATCAGTGATGTCAGCAATCTCTGTTTTCCTAACCCTAGCAGCCGTGGCTCCTGGCCCATCTCCCAACCGTGACCTACAAGCACTGGCGGAACTACCAGGGTCGCAGCGGTCTGGGCCCTGGCGTTCCGCCACTTAGGGGGGGGGGGGGCAGTTTGAATGGGCACTGGGCAAGGATTTATTTTCTACATTTAGTCCTGCTTTGGGCAAGCAGCGCTAAGTGTAAAGCAGAGGAGCCGTTTTGTACGAGCGAGTTCAGTGGCTACACAGCCGCTGAGATCACGTGTACACAGCCTGTTTGTGAGTTGTCCGGCCCCCCCCCACCAGCTGCCTCCTTCTGTGCCGCGGTTTTCAGGTTCCCCTACTCTTCTGGGGGACCCAAGCCCACGGTAAGGCAGTTCAGGGAGGAGAGCAGGGAGCAAAGCGGAGAACCTCCATTCTCTGCTCCTTGATCAGTGACACAGGAGCCGATGTACTCGCAGCGCTCCTGTGTCAGCTGTCACAGCCTGAGCTGTACAGGAAATACAACACGCGTGTGCTCCATCTTCTGTATTGGAGGGCAGGCTCACAAAGAGAGCCTGTCACCTCCGAATGCTATCACACAGGGGCTTGTTAGACTCTGTGTGATAGCAATAAAGTTAAGTGAAAAAAAAGTAAAAAAATAACTAAAAATGATGGGAAAAAATGATCAAAAGTAAAAAAAAATAATGAAATAAAAAGCAGTTAAAAGAATATATAAATAAATAAATAGAAAAAAAAATAAAAATTGAAAATAAGCAAAAAATAATAAAATAAAAAGCAGTAAAAAAATAAATAATAGAAATGGGGAAAAAAATAAAAAGTAAAAAAAATAATAAAATAAAAACGTGATAAAAAGTAAACTTTTTTTTTAAAAGAAAAATTATTAATAATATTAATCCGCACAGCCCAACCTGTATGGGGTCCCATGATTTTAACTGGTGGCCCTGCCTCCTGGGACTATACACATGCAGTACCCCAGTAACTGCCAAGGCGCTGACATTTTTTTTATGGGGGGTGGAGTGGGGGGCCCTTCATGGTTTCTTGCACTGGGCCCCCGAGGTTTCTAGTTATGCCTCTGCCTATAGGGGTGACTGCGGCACGGAAAGCTGTGTGCAAATGCAATGATGGGGCGCTGCACGCCATAGCGCATCCCTGGCACAGCCGGCACCTCTTCTTATGAACTTACTGGAGAGGCCGCAGGGGGAGACGTACACATAAAGTGCTCTTATCCTTCAAGTTGAAATGGGATTTTATTTACAGCTTGTACATTATTTTTATTGTGATTGAAATGCCAATCCCCGGAGTATGCCAAGCACGCACTAATATAAAATCCATCGCATCAGCAAAATCTGAAAATCCTTTCGCTCTGCCAAAGAGCTGGGAGTGTGTCTGAGACAGCAACTACCAGCGGGAGATGAAAGGGCCAAGTACAACTCTCTGTAACCCTTGTACATGACTGTCAGCTTATCCTCCAACGTCCTGAGCCAACCCCCTGCACAGCACACTACGCACCGTGTACAGAACAAAGCCTACCACCAGTGTTAAGGCGGCCATTCACTCAGTGCCCCCCTGAGCCCCCGATTCGATTTTTCAATTGGCTTTTGTTGAAGTAGCCTGTCCAAAAAATCTTAGCCAATCAGCTGCAGTCACTGGTCGGGTATCCTGACCGCAGCACACCCACTGGCATCACAATACAAAACATTGGTATGGGGGGGGGGGGATTCTCCCATCCATGTTAAGCGGCAATACAGTGTTTTTTTTTCTCATCCAGCCTGCAGGGTACGGCCGGCTTTGGGGAAAATGTACTTTGGAGTCAGAGTGTGCTGCCACAGCCAATGATATTCTCCTCTTATTTGCTATTACACTGCATTGTATATTAGTATGCTGAGGTATATGCCTGACATCTAGTGGTAGATTAATGCTACTACAACTTGTTTTCTATATACATTTGGTATTTTCCATGTTCTCCCCTCCTGTTTAGTGTCAGTTGGTATAGTCTTAAGGTCCCCACACACCTTACGATAATCGTACGATAATCGCGGGAAATCCCGCGATCGTACGATTATCGTAAGGTGTGTGGAAGCCGTGCGACCTCTACTACTGTAAGGTCGCACGACTTTAAACTTACGAACATGTTTGAAAACCCGCCGAGCATCGTACGATGTTCGGCGGGTGTGTAGAATTTTCGTAAGATAAAAGCCGGACGGGCCGGTGTGCGCAAGCGCACACCGCCCGTTCGGCATTGCGGTCATCGGAAGCCAGCCCCTCAGGGGGCGTGGCTTGCGATCATCGCAAGTGCGATCTGCCTATGCAAGATAGGCAGATCGTACGTTTTTTTAAGTACCTTACAACCATGGCAAGACAAAAGTCTTGCCATGGTTGTAAGGTGTGTGTGTGCCCAGCCTTAGATAGACCCTCCATGCTTCTTCTACACTCCCTCATTTTGTTGCTAGCCTTCATCACAGATACTAAGCTTGGAAGATCATTGCTTTTTTTTTAACTTCAAATGACCAGTGTGTATCCTCTGTATGTACTTTGGAAAGTATATCTACGTTGGATCTAAGCCTCTGTGTCTTATTGGAGAGTTAGGCTGTCTGTGGGTTACTCTATCTCAGCTGGTGACCATACACCCTGGAGTGATTGAGGTTCGACAGAGTTATGTCAAAGCATAAAGCGGCTCTTGGAACTGACAACAGAGCCATGCAGGCATGCAGTAAATATTTACAACAGGAATGCACTGATGCCGGTTTTTCAGTATCACGTTATCTTTCTGTACTCGCCGATACCGAATACCGATACCAGTACTTCCGGGAGCACGGAGCTGGCTTCCTGGCCTCACTGGCCGGGAAGCTGGCTCAATGCTGATTGGCTGGGAAGCCGGCTTCCCGGCCAATCAGGAAGTCGGGAGCCGGCTTCCCGGCCAATCAGGATGTGGGTCATTACCTGCTACCTGGCTTCCTGATTGGCCAGAAGCCGGCTCCATGCTGATTGGCTGAAAAGCCAGTTTCCCTGGCAGGAAATTGGCTCTAAGCCCAAATGCTTAGAGCCAGCTTCCCAGGAAATCAGCATTGAGCCGGCCAAACAACACCGCCCGGCTTCCTGATTGGCTGGGGAGCCGGTTCCATGTACCCTTGCGGCACTGCTGGTCAGAGGAAATCTCCCTCTGACTGGAATTTCTGGTATTGGGGGTAAGTATAGGAGCATTTGGACGAGTGCGCGTAGTAGTATCAGTATTGGGGCATCCCTAATTTACAATGCATACTCAAGGCTTTGGTTAACCAAGCCGTTCTTAATCTTTTTAATGCTTGACGAGCGCTGATGTCATCAAGTACAATGCAGGACCAATGGTCCCCACAGTTCCATAACCAGGAGCATCAGAGAGAAGAGAAGAGTGTAGGAGCAAGAAATAAAGTCATACACCCTTAACAAGCATTTAACCCTTGCATGGGGGGTGCACTACCAGGGTATTATTTTTTGAACCCCGGTGTTCACGGAGGATGTGCAAGGTCTTGGTGTGCGAAGCTGGTTCCCCGGAGTTCACCCAAGCCTGCGCAAACTGGCTGACACACCCCCTCCTCCTGGCCCAATCAGATGTGTAGATTCCCCACCTCTTTGTGATGTGTAGGTGGAGGGCGGGGAATTTCCTGTCTGCAACTGATTGGGCTGGGAGGGAGGGGGGTGACAATCACAGTTTTGCGCAGGCTTGGGTGAACTCCCGCGAACTGAGTTAGCCCTAAGCTTGGGTGAACTCCGGTAAACCGGGTTAGCACCAAGCTTGGGTGAACTCCGGTGAACTAGGTTAGCCCCAAGCTTCCAAGCTTTGGTGAACTTCGGTGAACCGGGTTAGCACCAAGCTTGGGTGAACGCCGGTGAACTAGGTTAGCACCAAGCTTTGGTGAACGCCGGTGAACCGGGTTAGCCCCAAGCTTTGGTGAACTTCGGTGAACCAGGTTAGCCCCAAGCTTTGGTGAACTTCGGTGAACCAGGTTAGCCCCAAGCTTTGGTGAACTCTGGTGAACCAGGTTAGTCCCAAGCTTGGGTGAACTCTGGTGAACTGGGTTAGCCCCAAGCTTTTGTATGTATTCATACTCTAGTATGTATTCCTACTACAAGGCTGATATATAACAGGATAGTGGATGCTGGGATTTTACAACTCTTTTAACTGTTGGGTGGAGTAAGATTTTAGCCCGGCCGGAGTCATATTCCATCCATTGCC